CTCTCTCTCTCTCTCTCTCTCTCTCTCTCTCTCTCTCTTACTCTCTCCCTTTCCCCTTTCTCACTCGTAATATAAGACATTACAAACAAGTGCCTAACGAATATCACGAGAAAAAGTCGACACACGCGTCTAACAAAAGACATGCACGTCGTGAATGCAAACATTCAGCGTACAGCTTAACGTACCCCCCCCCCACTCCCACCGTCATTATAATTACCAGGCACGAGCAGAGGAGATGCTGTAAACGCATGCAAATCCCCGCGAATGTGTATCAGCATTAGCGACGACAGACTCCTCACTGTCGTGGCAGTATCAGTCACGGCCGGCATGTACATGCGTGTTCGCGATGGCGCTTACGTGACTGTATATTCGATTAAGAGGGGATCGCACGCGTATCATCACCACACATGAGTTACAGTTCGTGCTTATAAGCAGGAGATTAATTAAAGGGAGATAGGCGAGCAAGTAAATTCTTCTCTCGAGAGAATAATCATTTACATACGTGCGTGGGATCTATGTGTCCCTACAGACATGGCTTCAATTTCTTTCTCTTTTTTCGCTTTTGTTCTTGATTTCTCCATTGTACGGGCGCTCATGTGTGTGCGCGCGCGCGTGTGTGTGTGTGCGTGCGTGCGTGCGTGCGTGCTTGGGCGTGTGTGTATGCGTGTGCGTGTGTATTTGTTACAGGATGCATACGTTTCTACGTTCAGTACTTACTGCTGTATACCGCTGCGCTACTGCACAAAAGAACATTGACTGACCGACCGGCTAGAAAAGAAATTCGCGTGACATGAAAAATTAACGAGAGAGAATCCATATGAGGTTATTATGATCAGTGAGCCCGCGGGAGAGTGAACGGAGGCACGATGAGAGATATTACTTATCACCCGCACCTCCCCTCCCTCGACCTACCTACTATCACGTGCTGCAACCCCAATATATATATATATAGATACGCACACACGCACTTATACACACACACACACACACACACACACACACACACACACACACACACACACACACACACACACACACACACACACACACACACACACACACACACACACACACACACACACGACACACACACACACACACAC